GTACATCAGTGCGTCACACCTTTTCACGCCTTGTCAAGAACTTGCTCTATCGGTATACAAAGCATAGAGCTGAACTAAACTTGTCAAGCCAGCGGCCAAATTGTACTATGTCCGACCTTTTCCCGGACTTCTTTCTAGCTCTTTTTTGTTAATTGAAAGTGAAATTTCGGAAAAAAACGAGCCGGCAAGTAGTAGCCAAGCGCCGTAATTTACGTTATTATAGCGAGCGCAGAGACGAAAATCCTCAAAGAGAAAACGAAATTATAGTCAGAGTTTGAAGGTTTTCACCGCTCAGTTAGATTGCAAGCTTACGAACGGTAATAAAGATCAAACACAGCTAACACTCGAATGGTATATATACTTTCGGGTTAAAATGAAAAATAATAAAATAACAAAACAGAAATAATTAAAAATATAGCTAAACTTGAATAATTGTTTAAAAATTCATATCAATCATGACGGTGTCGGACCGACTGCGATCATGCTGAGGTCCACCGCGGCTAGCTCATCCTGGCGATCTCTGGTAATCGCAGGGAAGCAAGCCTCAGAAATTACATCGGCCGCCCTTCGAGTCAACGACTGAGAGCTTGTTCTGATATTTTTCCGATGCGTTGAGGGGAGGCCACATCAGCCACACCAGCCAGCGCTGTCCTCGCGAGAAATCTTAATGTTACTATGAATGCGGCTGTCGTTTATTCGAAAATCACATGCCTTGAGCAATTTGTGTCTAATTGTCATGTGTGAAACCTTGCGCGTTTTTATGAGCCACAATTCGTTTCACGTCTCACTTTCAGATTCTGTATTAGACACTAAGAAAACTTCAGGCGAAAGTGTTAAATTTGACCTGCCGAACTATTTGGTTGTTAACTATTGCAGATTGTGATCTGTGATGGTTTGACATTTTTGACAGCTTTAGTTCTGTTCAACCAATCAGATTATTCGAACCATTCTAACAAGGATTCTGATTGGCTTATTGTAGCATGCTTTATGAAGTAGAGAGCATGCTGACGACTCTGTTATTCGCTTCTGAAATGAAGTTTGTTTCGAAAATTGAAAGTCATGCGTGGGGAATTTGACGGATTCTTCATTATACTCAAGAAGTTAGGGGAAACACTCCACTACGTCTCATGTTTCTCCTTACACTACTCTCGTGCTCCAGCCGCTTCCTGTGTGCTTCACAACAGAGTCCAGGCTTCTCTATTGCAATAGACAAATTACCTGAAATGCACGCCTGCGAGGTGCAGACTTTGTTGCTTTGGATATGCTAATTATTTGTTAATATGTTTTTGTCTGATTCTTTCTTCCCGCACAGGCAGCACTTTGCACTCGCACGAAACGTGGTTGTTTAGAAAAACAATTGAGGTGAAAACTTTTATTAAGTTGTTGTGTAACATAATTTCGAAAAAAAGAAAAGTGTGACAAAGAACACCAAACTCCTCAAGAAATTTTCAATCATGAACTCCTCTCTTTTTAGATCATTCAAAAGATTGTTTCCGTCATTCAACTGACAAATTTCTGAGCAGGAGACAACGGCAGAAGTGTGGATATTCCATCAATAATGAAACCTGAGTATGTTATCCACGAACGCTCATGAAATTCTAATCTTCCATCAAAGAACAAACACGCAACTCTGAGGAATTCAGGTCAGTTTAAGCAAACTTGCAATTCGCAAAAAGTTAAAAATTACTTTTCAAAGCTATACTAAATACATGAAAAATACGTGAAATTCTTGTTTCGCTTTGTAGAAACATACAGTTAAAACAATAAAGGGGATAAGCCGTGGAATCCCTGAAAAAATGGGTTTCAGATGATGGGTTTCTTATGCGCAACGATGGTGTGAATGAAGATGGTAAATTCTAAGGCTAGTGTTGAAATGATAGAAGGTTTATTCAGTGAATGACACAGTTGTATTGGGAGAAAAAAAGAACGAGCTATGAGTGCTGCCATTACGAGTCGAAACCGCGACATTCCGGATTTTTCCTTTCTCCACCATAGTTGCCGATGTGTCTTTACAGTTTTCTACGTCACAGCTATGTAACATGATCGTTTTGGCGGCGCGCTTAATAACGACACTTTTTGGCCGCCAAATTGTACTTTCAATGCACAAAAAATGGTCAAAGATAACTTGCTAGGCGCTAAGGTCGATTATCTCTAATTTAAAATAAAACTATCCACCGGAAAACGCAAAAACAAATTCGTGTCATAGGCACTTAAGGCCATGTAAAATTACACGAAATTCTGCTTTATAGAGACATACCGTTAAAACAAAAAAAATGGGCATAAGCTAATGAACTCCAAAAAATCTGGTCCTCGGATAGTAAAAGTTTCGAACGATTGAAAAAAAGATGGCAAAGCTTTGACATACCTTGAATGAAAAAAACAAGTTTTTTCTCACCCGATCTGCCATGTCTGAAAAACGTCTGTTATGAACGGCAAGCAGTCACTTATCAAAATTATATGACACTCCCACGACAGCGGGTTTTCAGATATTATTCAATAATAGTTGGCTGGGTATCTATTGTAATAGATCGTTTTACCTTTCATATGTTTTTCAAACGGAGGAAACGTATGCGCTGTTGGATGGTAAGAAATCCTAAGGGGGCTTTCGAATTGGGTCTCTCGCGGTCACAATATTTCTTTTTTTCTTTCATTTCAATATTTCATCATTATCATCATCATTGTTACTATTATTACCATTATATATTTTCAAAGATTTTGAATTCCATTTTCTGCGAAAATTCTTACAGAATCAACGATAATCAATTCTTTATCCGCAGTTCACACATACATGTTTTTCATACATTCAAAAGAAGAATCAAGCAAAGCTACTAGCGCACATCGAAATCTGCATTGCACTTGTGCCTATATCGCTATCACTGACTATCACTATTTTTTACGGATAAAATCTATAAAAATAAATATCTAGGCATTTCGTGACTTCTTGCATGCCAGGGAACTTTCGGAAATATTCTATTTAGTCACGTGAATATGATATAATGCTATCCTAGTGTGACTTTAGAAATGCAATTATCACTATGAAAAACTAAACGACCATGAAGCCGGTGATGTATGAAATTTAGCATCATTTAAACGAACTAAATCATACTTCGCCTTTACAAATGCCTTTAGACAATCTGATGCGTGAAAGTTCCAAGATAATTTGCGTAAGTAAGTTTATGATCTTCCAATTCGGTTTGTTTTTTAAAACTAGTCTAATGCACCCGTCAATTATTCATTAATGTGTTTCACAGCATGAGTGTTTGATTTCAGCACATACCAAACATCCCTAACAATTTCAAACTCTCGTTGTAAACACAAAATCTATTTCAACATGCTCGGTTGTTATGAAAATTTGGTCTGTAATCTATTGTTCTACTCGTGATTAGTTATTGTTTTCTTATCATGCTGCACGCAATATAATAATAAAGTTCTAGTTGGTAAGGTTTCAAGTTACTTGCGCCAGAACACCGTGCCCCCATTTCTTTTGTGAGTCCCTGTCCTAGGAGAGCTAAAGTTAAAAGCTTGCGATCGTTTAACCGACCGGCCATGTTTGATTTGGAGTTAGAATGGACGGTGGTGGTAGGGGGCCGAGGAAGGACGAGAAGACGTTATCTTCACTCCCCTACCCCTACCCCTCTCCTTATTATTGACCGTCGACCGCCCCCTTGGTAGAAATTTTGTTCTCTCCCCAGTCTTCCGCTGCCATTGAAATCAAAGATGGCGGCCGTAATTTTCGTTAACAAAATAATGAGCATTCGCTCGCCAAAATTACGCCTGCTCTGCAGGCTAGGATGAACCCATAAACCATAGATTACAGATAGCCTACTAATCATCTTTCCTCTGAAGCCAAACATTACCACTATGCTTGTGACAAAAATCCACATCCGCCCCATTCACAAATCAAACTAACCATGCTGGATAAATTACCGTCGATTTCTCAAATCATATTTGACTTAATTTCGTTTATCGAGTGAAAGATAAGAGATTTTTTAAATCAAGTAAAAACACCTGTTTCTTTCAAAAATGCCTAAAAAGCAAAATATATATGGAACGAGGTTGAAAGGTCGTTTTTTTCAGCATCACTGATATATTGGAACTTTTTATCATTCTATGTCAATGTGTTTATATGGCCGTCCGAGGTAAATGTAGCTCACATAAGTAATTCCATTTATTTTGTTAATATTTTTGCCCTGCTTGCGGGGATTTTGGCCTAAATTAACAGCCGAGTTCTTTAAAACAGATATTGCGCATGCGTAGTTTTAAAACACACCATAATGACAAAAACATTGCAATAGTACAGAATAAATAAGGATACCTGCACAAAAACTCTTTGTGGTCCGGACGGTCGAGGGTTATCAATCCTAGAATTCTTGAACCCCCCTCGTCCACTCACATGACCACTTCTCCTTTTTCACCTTTTTCTTTTCATTATCCCTTTTTTTCCTTGGTTATGTTTGTCAGTGAAAAGTCTTTCTTACACCTTGCTTCCCTATCCGAGTTGCATAATCATTTATTTGTCATACACTTGTTGGGAAATGTGTGGGTTTACCTGGTTAACTTTCGTTAAATTCAAACTTTTACGTTGAAAGTGTTGAGAAGCAAATCAAACCAACAACGAAAGCAATTGTGAAAAATCAAGAACGTGGTCTAATAGAAAACAAGATCGTTTGGGCTACATCGTCACTATTAATAATTTGGCGCTGAGTTTATCTAATTAAGTCTCTTTTCTTGGCCACGAATAGAAAGAAAATACATTCTTCTTGGGAACTTGTATTCAATGTGAGCAGATCTCCCTGAAAAGATCTCCCCAAGCATTTAAACGAAATAAAAATGACAAAACTAATGGCAATTACGTTGGTTCGCGAGAACCTGAGGGATTGGGATCTAGATAAATTTAAATTTGGTATCGACCAATGGAATACAGGATTATCAAAGCGGAGCCAATCAAATGGAATATGGCTTTTCAAACACGACCGTTTACACTTTTGGATAAAGTTCTTTCAACTTTTTACGAGAAGTTTGTGATGGGAAGTAGTGTTGGAGTACTTTAAACATAAGTAATACATTTAGCCGATTGGTTTACTACAAGAAAATGCAAGGAGAAAAGTCTCTAGCCGTTGGAGAAACAGTGTGGGCAATGTGGCCGGGAAGCAGGAAATATTACGAAGCTACAATTCTCAATGTCGGCAAAACTAAGGTTGAAGTTAACTTCAAAGAAAACTACAAAACGGAAGTCGCTCTGAAAAATATTTACGTGAGTATAATTTTTATCTCGCATGCAAACGTGATCCCTTAGGTTTAAAAAGAAGCTTAATGAAAATCGGACAGTATTTTGATCGTTTTAGCGACAAATGGGACTGTGTTTATCTTCTGTTGCGGGAACACGCCATGTTGATGGCGTTGTTAATACCTCTCGTGAAATTTCCCTCATTCAATTTACTTAGAGGCTGATAGCGTAAAATAATAATACTTTTTCACATGCAATGTGCATCGTTTAATTTGCCTCGTTGAAAGACTCGATTGAGCTGAGCTACACGACTTGGGAAATTGTAAACAATTGCTGTACGGTCCTTCTTTCCTGAACGATTGATTCACTTTAGAGTTTTAAAAGCGACATTGTATCGAGGTAGAACTTAAGCTTAGGTCTAAATATTTGATATAAGTTTCTTACCAGAGGTATCCTTGCATCTTTTTGTAGAGGCAACTTCCTTTTCGTTCCCGTTCAACGTCGCCCGCGCGATCGCCAGCACGAAGAAGGTCTCGCTCGCCAGGGCGAAGATCCCGTTCACGATCACGATCTCCGGCAAGAAGTCGGGGACGTCCTCCAGCCCAGAAGACGTCGGAAGAAAGTCTTGTCGCAAAGGTTAAACAAGAAATAGCGACTCCGAGTCGGCGTTCTTCTAGAAGAAGCAGAATGCCCGAAAAAACTGTAGAAGAGTCTTCGACTTTAACCACAACTGTTACCAAAGACAGTGCGACCGTTACTACCACGCGTGTGACTCGGTCTGTCACGAAGAAGCTTATTGCAGAGGAAAAGGAGGCCTTTCATACACCAGAGGTCAAGCCAAATCCAATGAATAGCAGTCATGGATACGAATTCGGTGGCCCAGTTGGAGTGTGTTTAATGATGATCGGGCTTCCTGCAATGGTTATAGCGTCATACTTGTTTTGTAACAAAGACGGATGCTCAATCCATCAGCGCCCATCGATTCCACAAGTTTGGAGCTTCACCGGAGGATTTTTCGACATTGGTCATCTGATTGTCCTTGGATGGATCATTTTCCAGGCGATTATTTACATGTTGCCCATTGGAAAGGTAACTATTTATGTCTTGTGACATTTCCTTACATATTACGTGTATAGAAGTGTTGAATTCGCCCTTGACCTTGATCACGTGGTTTAGGGAAGTTTCAATTGTATCAGCACATACCAAAAAGTCTTCCACGTAACTAGTTGAATGCAAAGCCACTTTAAAGACCATTTAAAATTGTGAATCACACTTTCAACAACAACCCTCCTCCCCTATTTAATGCTAATCCTCCCCTTTTCAATGCTGTATAATCACAGAAAACATGGAGAAACATCGGTCAAGGGAGTAACTCTCTAGGTAGGGGTATGGGGAAGAAATAACATTCCTTCCAGCGTGAAAAATATGCAGGTTTTAATTTTTACAGTTATTGAAGATTGTCTTTCAATGTCTGAAAGCCACAAAAATTTTTTTGTCTTCAGCCAGATGCAGAAAAATTAAATACTGATTCAGGTGTCAATTTCTATTCTCCATAACTGCACTCTTGAAATATCTATCTCAGGACTATTTATCATATAGCTCCACCCAGTATAGCTCAAAAGGTTGTGATGGTCTTCTGTTCAAACAGAAAATAGATAAAAAAATTCTTAGCTAGAATCCCAAACCATAAAGGAACTGTTCTTGCAAACATGGTAGTATTCGCCAATCTGCAAATAAAGCACATACACATTTTGAATTTCATTTCACATGCAATATATGGAAGCAGTTCAAGCACTCAAGCTTTTTTAATCATGATGAAGTTAAGCACAACCTGTTGTTGTCTGCCATATTTGTTTGGTGCAATATTGGCTCACAATCTAGTTTTTTGTCCAGGTCATCAAGGGACGAGTGCTTGCAGATGGAACATGTCTTGATTACAGAACAAATGGTAAGAAAACATTATTTACTAACGTGCAGTCCATATGAACAATTTCTGATAACTTGCTAACAGCTTGAGAAATCAACTGTACCTGTAAACAACTGTTTTAGTCTCCTTGCATTCCCAGTTTACAAATTGTCATTGCTAAATTTGCCTCATAGGTTGCAAATTCAGCAACCCAGTTTAGTAACTTTTAGTAACCTAGTTTTTATTGTTTTAAGTTTTGTATCTGACTGGACCACCCCTAGAGAAAAGTGATACAGGATGATATTTGACACAATTAAACACTGATGGTCAATTTTACTTCCATATAGGTTTCATTGCCTTAATCCTAAGTGCAGTTGGGTTTGCAATGTGCCTTTATTTCAAAGTGCAGGTTAGCATGGTCTATGACACTTTCATTGGAATCATCACAGCGACTATCTTGTGGTCTATTATCGTAGCTGTCATTGTTTACATTATGGCATGCCAACAGAAAAGAGGTTTGGCTCCAGGAGGTAACACAGGTAAACAATTAATTGTGATGAGCAAAAGTTATCACTTATCTGAAATTACTTTATTTCACACTAGTGTTTCTCATATACCATATGACATGTTAAAAGTTTACCTAAACCCCAACTCACAAGTTAAGAATCAATTATAGTTTTCATGGATAGAAAAGAATGATCTTCTAAAAAGTTTATACACAGGAATCAAATTTTGTAACAGTGACGTGATGTCTCCTGGGAATGTTGGATTCAACTCTTTGTTAGGGTTGACATTATTTTCACCATAATTAGAACTATTCCCTTGTGTTTTTAATCAGTGCCTAAGCATGCAAACGATTTTTTTCCTTGCCAGGTAATGTGATCTATGACTTCTTTATGGGACACCAGCTCAACCCACGATTGGGAAAATTTGATTTCAAATTCTTTTTCGAAGTTAGGCCTGGACTAATAGGATGGGTAAGGGAAGACTCCTATTTTCTGGAAAACTAAATATGGGCCAGGTTGTTCAAAGTTAGGTTAAGATAACCCATGGTTAGTGTGAAATCTGAGCTTTAAAAAGAAAATTCAGTGTAATTGTTTTCATCTGGAATGTTAGCATTGGATGCTCTAAAAGAAATTGATAAAGTTACCCAAAGGAACAAAGGAATCAAAAGTGCCAGAATTAAAATTTAACCTTAGGTGAGCACTAATTGACCTTTGAACAACTGGTGCCAGTATATAAGTTATAAGTTATTACTTTGTATTTAGGGTGAAGTGAATTTCTTTCATATGAGCCACTTGATAAGTAAAGGCAATAGTCCAATGTGGTTTGTTATTTTGTAAGTGAGTCACTAGATTACTTACTGAATTGTATGACACTATATCCTGTTACCAATAAATCAAAGTTTGACAAAATTTGAGAAAACAGTTAATTCAACAAAATGAGCAACAACAGCATGCAAACATGATGCATGCTGTCCTATTTCAGAGGCAGGTATCTACTGTCACATTACAACTGTCTTATTACAAGCAGGACATGTACACTGTCCTATTAGTGCACGAATGGGATTAGTGATAAGCTGTCACAATTGAGAATTTTGTTATTGTTTTAATTAAATAGGTAATTTTGGATCATTACATTTAAGTATGGTCAGATTATTCTAAACTTCATGGTTAATCACTTGTTACAACAGGTGATGATCAACTTTTGCATGGCTGCCAAAGAATTCAACAAGAGAGGGGAAGTTTCTCCCGCAATGATGCTTGTGTGCATCTTTCAGTTGATATATGTTGCTGACTGCTTATTTTATGAGGTGAGTACTGTGTGCATAAAGATTCATTTGATATTCATGCAGTCAAACTTCTATCTATGGGCACCTTCCTTTATAGCCACTCTTTGCCTGTGGCAGAGAACTGTTCATACTTTGTTCCTAATGACTTTTTGGCTCATGTACCTGAACATAATTATACTGTTGTTGTTTTAGTCTTCCATCCTAAGTACAATGGACATCATTGATGAAGGATTTGGCTTCATGTTGGCATTTGGAGACATATCATGGGTTCCAATCATGTATTCCATACAGGCACGTTATCTTGTGGATAATCCAGTAATGATAACAAATCTTACAATTGCTGCAATAGTAACTCTATTTGGTAGGTGCTTTTAGACTTATACAGTGCATACATACAATTTACCTAAAAAATTCATATAAATACATATCATTTGATCAGAAATGGCACTGTGCACACAGTGTGAGTGATAAAGTGAACCTTGCCGTTTCTGCTACTTTCACTCCCCCTCCTTACTGTGGCTTTGTAAACCAAGTTATTTCAATGTATAAACATTTGGTGGTGTATACTGTCTTAAAATCATGTTCATTACCTGGAATTAGTTCTTTACCAATGATGTACAAGCTGTGATAGTACAAGTCAGATAGTATAAGCTGATGTGCTTGATAAAGTTATATTTCCATGCCATGATATGATATTTATTTGATATTTCCTTTTTATTGCTATTTGTGATAATGATTTATCGTAGAAGGAATTATACGCCTAGTGAACTTCAGCTTCCCATGAAGATTTCTTTCCAGTAAAATTGTCTCTGCAAAGATGGTGGATATGATGCGTTCTCGAATATGCTTTATATTTAAGATTGAATGGTGATAGAGGATGGCTGGATGTTCATGTAACCATACATGTACATTATCTGGTATAAACATTTAAGGTTTCAATGGAGTTTGGTCCTTTTTTCAGTTATTGGGTATGGGATATTCCGTGGAGCCAACTCCCAGAAGGACAGATTCAGAACTGATCCTGACTCTGAGGAGTTCCAAGGTAAAGCGTCTTAATGCGATTACTTTAAAGAATAAAAATACCTCCATCTGCTTGAGAACATTACTTTTTTATGAGAAGGCTACTCAGTGTGGTAGTAGGGTGAGATTAAACTCCATCCTGACAGGGAAATATATTGCCTTCAAGGAGAAATATTTCGTTCAAGGAGGGAACACCTGTAGTTAATATGATATTGTTGGTGGTAATGACTTTATTAACCCTTACTCTCAAACAGATGAAGAAACCATTCTAACCCCAACTGGTAAACGACTCCTGGTCTCTGGCTGGTGGGGCCTGGTGCGACATCCTAACTACCTGGGTGACATTATTATGGCAATCGCTTGGTCCATTCCTTGTGGTGAGTCTGAATATGAATTAAAATGCACAACACATCTCTCTAGTTTCTAGTGAAAGATTGTGATTCAGGGCAGACTTTTGCGTCTGGAAAACTTTTGTATCTCACTTACCTTCTCACGCGAATTTGCGAAGGCGTTACCTTCGCGCTTCGATGTAGAATGTGCTGCGCTCACATTCTTGAGGGGCGGATGGTTGTCGGAAGCTGAGAGTTCTTTCCTTGTACGCACAACAAGTCGTTGGTCATTTTGAATCGTTTATCTAAAGAATATTAAAAAAGGGTTTTCCAGTTCAGTAGTTGATTTCAAAGCGCAATAGACGTAACAGCAAAGCGTAAACGTCCGTGCTCTGCCCAGGTCTTTGCTTCAGTAAGGACCACGCTGCATCGTCTCCTTTGGACTCTTTTCCCGTAAACTCTTCGAGTCCACTTACAACTTTCTTCTTGATTTTCTTACCAGGCTTTTCAAACCCATTCCCGTTTTTCTATCCGGTGTATTTGACAATTCTACTGGTTCACCGTGAATTCCGGGACGAAGCAAACAGCCGTCGTAAGTACGGAGCAAGCTGGGACGAGTATTGCCGGCGAGTGCCCTACCGCATTCTACCCAAGATATTTTAACTTTCTTGCGCTTATCGTTTTAAGGTTTTTTTTTACTCTGTGAAACAACCGTCTCTTCATTGCCTTTTAGAAGTCTTTTTTAGTGTAAAGGTTTATACCATAAAAAGTATTTTTTAACTTTAAAAAATCAAAGAAGTAGCCGAGGAAATTCTGGAAGGTAAAAAAACAAAAACACATTTTAGTAGACAAGATTTTTCCGAGAAGTCCTTCTCTATAGAGATTTTTTTCGCAGAGCCCATGGCTATGAGCCTATGGGTATGATAATATATTTATGTAACTTTCGTTTTGGCCATTTATTGTGTCGGTTCCATATGAAGAAATTTTACTCAGACATCCATTATATCGTAATTTTCGATGCATGCATGACAAAAGCCCAGGATATATATTAGTTACACTATACACTAAGTAATTATGTGCCTTGCGAGGATCCTTGCCAGCAGGCTCTCATTAGCGTGAGATTCGAGCCCTCAAGTGAAACAAGCGTACCAGAGATCTACTAACAAGTCGTGCTAGAAACTATGTGGACCTCACGCGACCTCTCGCAGGGTAGGAACGCGCGACATCGCCGCTCGTGTGGCAGCGCAAACGAGAGCCTGCTGGCAGGTTCAATGATAGTGATATTTTTAGATTAAGAACTTGTTTTAAGGTTATGGTTAAGATCGGGACGCAATAAGCGACAAACTTACTGCGATAGGTCTCTGCTTCCGAAAAGAGTTTCACTGTTACTGTCGCATAAACTCAAACCCGTGTAAAATTATACAAAGAGCTGTCAGAATGAAGGGTCGAAATTACCACTAGTGAGTCCCCTTCCCAACTGAAAATTGATATTTGGTAACCGGTAATTTGGAGTCTAGTCGCCAGGAGACGATTAACTTCACGTGATGTCAACGTTCTTCATGTAAACTAGTGCTAAAGATACGAAATGTCGGTTTTTTCGTTTTGCTCTTGCATCCTCAACAATTAGGGATATGAAACCTCTTTAAAACTTCGCAGTTTTGTATTGCCCCTTGTAGGAAAGATTTAAGATTGGGGCCTCTATTGGTAAGCCAAATTGCTCCATCTGGCGACTGAAACAAAATTGTCACTGTACGGGACGTAAAGTGACAATTTTCGGCCCTGAAAATTCTGTCACGTGAAAGAGGATTTCCTTTAAAATTAAAGAAATACGCCGTCGTTGCGACTTTTGGTTTAGTGCATCCCGACCTTGATGTTTTAAAGTGAAAAACAGTGAAAAGCCCATAAACTGAAATCAAAATCACTGTATAATTACTTAACCGGAGAGCATGATAGCCGATCTTGCTGACCTTTTTAGTGTAGGATACTTATCGACACATTTCTCGTTGTATAATACATCTAAGTTTACCTTTTACAGAAAGTCTATGGCTACTTATTCTTGGTTATACAATCGAACAGTCCCTGACCATTCGTAATAACGCCCGGCAGAAATGAAGAAGTCTTCAAGACTGGCACAGATGAAACTACAGCTATATGTAGTTGGTGTTTGCATTAGTCGAGGCAGCGAGAGGTTCGGGTTATTTTCAAGGGATTGAAAGAAACATAGCTTGTCACTCGTATATTAGTATGAGAGGGTTATTGTAAGCTCAAGAAAATGTTTAATCAGGCGTGGAAAATAATCTAGGACTGCGCCGGCTCTACCTCATTACGCTCTTTGATTGGTCTAGAAAGTTCGTGCCAATCCCTAACCAATCGCGACTTAGAGACTTGGCTCCAGGATTCTGACTCCACTTGAAGGTTCTAAGAAATATGTTTGAAAAAACAAACCAAAAAATATACGTTAAAGCCTTTGGAGCTGTAAATTTCTTGGACAGTAACCCTTTTCGCTGTTAGAAACAAATACACGAAGCAAACCATCGTGTAGAATGAGCAGCAATGGCAGTTACAAAACGTACGTCTGTTGAAGTATTTGATGCCCTTGTTTCGCAGGGGTAGTCATGTACATATATGTATGTAGGATATAAAGTTGTCATTTGATACTTCGCCCTGAGGCTCACCTTTTTCCTTTAAGACTCCATTTCTCTTGAGTGCTTTATTTAAGTGGGCGGGGGTCGGATCGACTCCTGTCCTTAGCTGGAATTTTTTTATTTTGGCAGAGTTGTGGACCCAGATCAGTTACTACACTGAAAAAATAAAATTGAAAAAAAAACAAACAAAAACAAAAAAAAAAAGACGAGGGAAATATCTAGGCGACTTTACCGAAAACGCTTGGTCCGCAAAGGATTTGTTATATGACAAAAATGTTTCGCCTCAATGAAAATCAAAATGGAATTTTCTTTTCGGAGCAGTGGGAAAGAGAAAAAACTTTGATGACGCCTGCTCGTTGTTAAGTTGACAATTCTTTTCTCTCTTCTTCTGTGTTTTAGGACTGGAATCCATTGTCGAAATTTTCCAAAAATTTCGACATTTGTAAGGGCCTGTTTACATGGAGGTGGGGAACCCCAGGTAGGTGAGGTAACCCGCCTAGCCGGAAAATGCGAAAACATGCAATCTTACAACCCCGGGGTGCTGAGGTGAGGTTTCTTGAGGTTGTTGTTGCGCTTGCAGTTAAGGAGTTTGAGCGGAGGTGTCCCAAGCTCACATCTCGCAAAATACGAAAGATTAACTCTCGGACACATGTATTTATTCATGAAAGCGTCACACTTTGTGTTACGCGGTATTCGGCCAAATATGGTCGATTTACAGCGCCAAATATTCCGAAATGTGACATTTTACACTCCTTGTGTGTCCGTTGCGGTTTCTGGTGATTTCTGCCGTGAGACGGCTAGGAAATGTGCAAAGTTTTAAAACATGCATTTTTCGCTTTTGAGCTTTTTGCCATGAACGCGACCCCAGCTAGGCGGGTTACCCCACCTTGACACGTTTACATGGCAAATTGTCACCCCAGCTGACAGGGTTACCCTACCTGGCAGACCAGGCAACCCGCCTAGGCGGGTCGCCCCATCTATCATGTAAACGTGATCAAAATAAAATAAGAAATTATGTGGACAGGCGGGTTACCCTACCTAGGTGGGTTACCTCACCTACTTGGGGTCCCCCACCGCCATGTAAACAGGCCCTAAGTCCGCCCTCGCAATTTTTCTTCTTGCACAGGACCAGAGCAGGCAAGATAGGCCCATCTTGCTCGCTCGAGTAGCCAATTAGAACACAGAGTTGTTTTATCTTACTCAAGGTGGTTGCCAGCTCTATACGATATAACCCCATGCCACATCGAGCTTGGAACCTTGGTTTGACTGCCTTATGTAAAAGCGTGAATATTTCGTGCTCTTTGTGGTTATTTAATGTCAAAGCTACTCTGGTCTGCCCTGACATCACAAGTTGTTTAAAAATTTTTCTTCCTTTTAAGCTGATCAATTCGGAAAAGAAACTGTTACTGCTTTACCTATTTTTATTAATGTTACCTTTGTTAAGGAGGCTCCTTAGGGTCTTTGCCGAATGTTGGCGCGCGCGCCAGCGTATTATATTTCAAGAAAAGTTTTATGTTTTCGCTTTTCAGGGTCGCTAAAAGCTATCAAAAGGGCGATGAGCAAGGTTCGGACTATCGTTTGCTGTTGTAAATATTATCAAAATGATTTTTGCTATTAAGCTAAGGCTCCACGAAGGGAGGCGCTCACCAGTGATAATTTGGCTTTGCCTTTGATTTTCTTCGATTTGCTTCGGTGAATTCTCTCAAAATGTTTACAATTTGTGAAATTTGTCCTGTCCGTCATTTAAAAGCCAAAAAAAAAATAGGGGTTATAAAGTCAGCTTCTTCGCTATGTGAAATTTTGTGTTTTTTTCCTATATCTCAAATTTGGTTTAATGATATTTTTCCATCCACAGGCACTAGGAAGGGTACAAATATGTTTGACGGTCCAGCGAATCTTAAAGGCCCATTTCCAACCTTGATGCAATGCGGTCGTTTGTTTTTGTTTTGAACCACCGCTTTTGTTTAAATAGCGCCTCTGATTGGTCAGTTATTTTAACCTTGTCAAGTTGTCTCAAAATACCTTCTGCGTTTTCTCCGAAGAATTTGAAGAGCTTGCCAGTTCTATACGTTTTAATCCGGCATGGAACTAGATGAATCCATTGATTTTGTAGATTCCGAGGCAGTAAACGCAGTAAATTTTCTTCGGATTCTTCCGGACAAAATTCAAAATACTGTAAGGAAACTGTAAAATGACGAACGGGGATTGTATTTACCGTGAAGCAGTTGACTATATGTCCAGGATGGCTCTTCAGGAAGACGATTTTAGAAGGTTTTCAGTGATCTGGGAATTTCGTGTTACAAGAAATTGGGTCGCGGCGCGCGTTGCATCAAGGTTGGAAATGGGCCTTTAAGAAGTTGCACCGAAGGCGCGATAAATCTTGCTCGAAAGATCCCTATTTTCTTTGTCGCAAAACATTACTTGATGAAAAAGAACTCCGCCAAGGTCTGAACACACATAAACTTTTAAATCTGTCGCGATCTGTCGCCTTTTGGGGCTCTTACTTGGTGTAGAAGACATAGTATACGTCAAAATAGAATTGCATCACAACCCGAAATAAGAAAACAATGAAAACAATGGCGTGACGCAACTGTGCCTTCTACCAAGTAAGAGCCCCTTTTGGCAATCTTTCCCACGGTGTTTGTCTTTTCGGTTGACCTCTTTTTCAGGCGTAGAAGGCCTATGAATATTACGGGTACAGTTTCTGGAAACCTTCGATTCCATCACATGAAAACTGTGTCGTGTTAAACTTTTTTCAGATAACAATCGTGCGATCGTATTGAGCCGCCATGTTTTTTTAGCATAGCTCGCCCTATGTTTGCACCCAGATCTCGCGCTGTCAAAAAACAATATGGAGCCTCCTTAAGGGAAAAGTTTAACGGCTCTGAGATGAAAGAGGTTGCTTACAACGAGTCAATTGATCGGCGAGGAACACGAACGTGGATATGTCCAGGGGAAAATTCGTTTCGTTATTTCTTTTTTCTTTGGACATTTTAAAGAAAAATGATTAATACGAGATACTTTTGATACTTTTTATGGTGGTACCATTGTGCAAGAAACGGTGAAAACAATACCATAGACTGTCAATATAATTTACACCAAAATGAGACATGACTGTTCTGCACTGAAATGAACAAATTATGCAAACGATACATAAACGGATTTAGACTTTATCCTTTTTAATCATATAATAAGCTCGCTCTCGGTTAGGAATAATTATAGCGGCCCTTTCCCTTAGAGTCGGTTCTTGAGCACAAAATTAAAGCAAATAAATGTGAATACGATGGAACTAAAAAACTAAAAAGGAAAATACATAACAGAACCTGTTAAGTAAAATTTACGAACCTTATCGGTGATATCTTAGCCCCCAATAAAAGCAGGTAGGTAATAAATTACTTATCTGACGTTTTGGTTTGTAGTATCGCTCATTATTTTTAGTCTTTGTTTTAGCTATGACTCGCCTTGTGTGCTTGTCGAAATACGACTCAGCTCGTAAATATACTCAGCGATAACGCACGTCAAAACTCGGACCGTTAAGAGACGAACACTCTTCCGTTAACAAACAAGTTAATGTTACAAATTTTCTTCATGCTTTGACACTATTCCTCATCTACCTTGCAACCGTTTCTTCTTGGCTGACCAAGCACATTTAAAGTAAGAAAGAAAGTTTAATATGTATACGCAAGTATATTTTGAATTGTTGAGCGGTTACCATTAGCATGAAATATGCACTTGAAATTTTGGAAATTGGTACTTAACTTCCTTCAACCTTTGTGAACGGGTACCAAAGCAAAAAATTAGCCCTATTCTAATTGTAACAGCGATTTTTTTTTTGGGGGGGGGTCTATACAAATAGCACGGCAATGCTAACATAGGTGGTAAAAGCGATAAAACGTAGCGAAAAACGTACACAAACTCCATTCCCTCGTTCAAAACAGAGAAAGCGCAAATTCCCCATCTTTCCAAAAGGTCTCAGAGAGTGCAGAGATTACGGTTGTTTTTAAATGTCATAGAAGTAAATTTAGAATCAAGTTTTTCGCGAGTCAAGTCTGGATAAATCATTATCTAGTTCTTTCGTGGAAGGACTTTGACTCGACTAAATCCACTGCCTTGAATTTATAGTTAAAGAGGCCGGCAGATTGCAAAATGTTTCTTTATATCCATGTTGGACATAAGATACCTCCGCTGTGTTGACAACACACATCGGGCTAACCCATTGTCTGGGCGTTATAATTCAACAAAGCTGTTTTCAGCGAAAGAACACATAGCATCAGCTAGCAAGTGCAGTCTTACCAAAACTGTATTAAGTAACTGTTTCGTTTAAGTCTAGGCTCAGCTTGGTCTTAGTTGAGCCACTAAACGAAGAGATTCTCTTGTGTGTTATAAAAGATTTATTGAAGCTAGCCTCCATTCTCACAGTTATGTCCTTGAAAACTTCAGGCGACTCACCATGCTCTTCCAAGACACGTCGGACTAGTGCCTTGAGCAGGTCAAAGCAATGAATAAGTTCACCAGCGCGCACTGGAATATCCAGAAGCCTCAATTCACCTGCGTTAGGCTGAGGTATCTTGAACGGTTTTTCAAGAGAATCCACGAACTCCGAAAGACGATCCAAAGGTAGGTAAGGCTTCCCGTCTGGAACAAACGTACCCCATGTGGTGTAGTAACTGTCAAAATTCTCTTTGGTGATGCAGAAGTCTTCGATCTCGTGAGCGCGGTTTACATTCTCGAGGATGATGGCGATGTACATGTTAACAATGACCAAGAACACCACAATAACGTAACTGGCCAAATAGATGATGGCGCCGAAAGAACCGCAGTTTCCGTGAGGAAGTCCCATGTAGTTAGGGTCACAATCTGGAGGTTTTAGAAGCAAAGCGTCCATAATGTCGTTCCATCCCGATCCCGTTGCCAGACGAAACAGCAGCAACAGCGAAGTACCAAACGTTTCAAAGTTGACGACATCGTTGAGCTCGCCTTCTCGTTTGACATTTCCAAATGCTGACATACCGATGATGGCATAAATAAAGATAACCATGAACAGCAGTGTTCCGATGTTGAAAAGGGCTGGTAACGAAATCATCAGAGCCCACAGGAGCTGACGTATTCCCTTGGCAAACTCTACTAGTCTTAGCAACCTGGCAATTCTAAAGATTCTGAGAACACGCAAAAGACTGGGGCTGACAGTGCCATCGCTCGCATTGAACTCGTCGAGAATTACGTCTGTGGAACAAAATAAGACAGCTGCTACCTGGTTTATGAAAAAAGGCTAAGATAATTTAGGGACGCAGAAAAAATTTTCATGGGCCTAGGACAAAGAAAAAATCTCAATCGAGCCACGGGCCTTCGTGCTCACAATCGGTCAGCAGTTGCAAGTTTTCTAGTTGTATCTTTATGATGGCCATTTTTCATCTTTTCATCTTTGAACTACAAGCCTTAAAAAAGGCTTGGAACGGAAATTGTTGCACCACTCGAAACCTTTTTTGGCAGGCTTTGATTTCGACGAACGTCTCAAAAAGTTCCTATTTCTGCAAGCCAGACTCTCTCTATCAAGATCTGCCTGCATAAGATCGTAAGAACATGCTGCAAGATTCGTAAACCTGGTAGTGAGGCTAATCCTAAGGCAGCCCTGATTTCCACATACATTAGAAATAAAAGAGTCTTGCCCAAATCTACTTCAGAAATCTTTGAATGATGATCAAATTGTACATGCATGTCTACTGACATGGGCTAGACGGGAAACATTAGTCTGGAGATCTTTTCGTCATGACCGAGAACCAAATATTTTACTGTTCGGCCCGCCTCGACCCAGTCGAAAGACATTTTAGCTTACCACCGCCTTTGTCTTCATTCTCCTCGCAAAACAGTGCATATACACTTGGCCGTGCGAATTTCTCTGCCTCTACTTCCCTAATCGCCTACTGCCCCCATAAGGGGACGTTAAGGGTAAAATGTCGATGAAAGTGCAGACTGGGCTGCATGGAGTAAATGATAAGGAAGCCTATTTGTTTTATGCACTTGTGTAATAATTGTATCGCTGCTTACCAACAAGGGAGCTGATAACAATGATGAAGTCGAACACATTCCATGGTTTCTTGAAGTAGTGCAGTCTTAATGTCACAATTTTGACGAGGGCTTCCAGAACAAATATCCCCGTGAATACATAATTAGACACGCGTGGACCTTTCAGTTAAGGAAATGGTTGTTTCAGGGTAACCCTATAGGGCATGATAATCATTTTAGGGAGATAAGATCAGTTGAAAAAAATCTTCATCAAGCAAATGAATATGGAATGTCCTGACCTCACGCATTTTTTCTTCTTCAGGAAATGTTGTTCTAATTATTGATGGTAAACGCTCTCCCTTTCCTCCCGTTTTCAGTCCTTTGAAGTGGAGTGGCCAGAGGTTTTTAATACCACTCTGAGAAGAACGGCTAGAGGCGCTTGGGTGTGAAATAACTCAATGGAAGAAGTTTCCACCTACCATAATTACAGAAAAGTGGGCATTTAGATAAACCAACAGAACTATGTAAAACTCTGCCTTAATTTGGACTCTGAAAGGATATGTAATACGCCGGTGATCTCGGTAGACTGTCCATAGTGTTGAATCGTCATCATTACCATATTGCACATGATCACAGTTAGAATTGCAATTTCGAACTTGTCACCAGTGACCACATCGTATAACAAGCCAAATAATTTATCCTGCAATAGAAATCCGGAAAAGTTCATTTCCAAAACTTTTCGGTGTGCATGGATAATGTGGATGAGAGTAGTATTCATGAAAGTATTTACGAAAGTAAGTTTTTTCCTTGGCAACTTCCCCTCGACTGTGCGTCCCTTTCATTGAAAATTATGATACGTTTTCCTTGTAAAGCTGTATTTTCTGGGAGCAAAGTTGCGATCATGCGTTCTTTTTTCCACTAGTTAGTTTCCACACTTCCGAGTTTAGCTTTTTCACCGAAAAAAAGAACGCCTGATCGCAAGTAAGCCCAAAAGCGAAAATGCCAGTTTTGCACATGTATTCGTACACAAGAACTTGTCATCGTCAACGACTAACTTTGTCGGCGCTAATTGGTTATAGACACTTGTCAAGGGAATGCTAAGGTTGAAGAGAAATCCCGTTCAAGTAATGTTTCTTGTTTGTTTTAATGTTTCTTCCGTTGAATTTTTCTGGCACTTATACAAAATGTGAACCACCAACACGTTCACCTTGACAAGAACGAGACCTAGCGTTTACATATATCTGTTGCGACCCCTAGAGATCTAACCTTCGGGCGAATTTGTCTTGTCGGTGGCTTTTTCTTGGCGGCTTCCTTCAGGAAAGAGACCCATTTTCTCTGCGTATCTGTAAGTAGCATCCCCATGCTATTGAGTTCTTCGTACTACGGTAAAAGCGTCGACGTAAATAAACCCAGTAGTTAGCGGGATAATAATCTGACTTCAATCACTTTGGAAAATAACCATCTTTAAAGATAACGAATTTCTTCGTCCAGTTAGGACGATAGGTATAAGGAGAACACGTCGATTATCATTTTTTTTATTGGAACATATAATTAGGGGAGTCTCCTATTAAACTCCTTCCGGTGATTTTTTTCATTGGTGGATGTTTTGGTACTATATCACTCTAACCCTTCTGGTTGTATGTATGAACGGAAGAACTGCTTAGAGGGATGAATTGTCTCTAATCCATATAAGGACTCATTCAGATTTCAGTTAAACTTAAATCCTAGCATTGCTAATCAGAACATCCCTGCAAGGAGAAAGGGGAAACCTGATATCATTGAAATGCTTAGCGAAAATCTTAGGAAGTACTTTGTTGTCCCCATTTTGGTTGACACCAGAATCAGTTGGAACGAGATAACTGCTGGTAGAAATATCCGTTATCATGCGATAGTGTACCTTCTTTTTTAACGTGTTGAAGTTATCGATGATGACTCCGACGAAAAGATTCAGTACGAAAAAGGAACCAACGACTATGAAGGCCACGAAGAAGCTGTAAGCCACTAAGTTATTTTCATACATAGGTTGCAAATCCACCTACAGACGGGAAAAAGCAAATTCACTGATGAGTTACTCAGGCTAATGCTTACTTTTAGGAGGTAATTTGAACAATTTGTAAACGTAATGTGATTACCATGTGAATTTAATGCTATATTTTTTGTAATCGCTATGCAATGATTTAGAACAGGACAGAACAAAATTATCCTCCTATCGGTCACTTGTCCACTTATTGTCTCCGATTCCAAATTTAATTCGTGGCGCTGGTATTATTGGTGAGAGGAATAGCCTAGGAGAAAACCCTAGCCGTAAAGACTAATACAAATAACACTTCCGGAAATTGATCCCGGGCAACAGGGGAAGACACCATTGCTCCCCACACAGCATCGTCTCTGCTCCGCCATGCAATGGCGAAGTGATGTTTGTCTGATCATATTGATAGAGATTTCTTGTATTCGTAATGATATGAGAATATAATTCTGATTTAACTCGAATGTTATTGAATTTCAGGCGCTCTACTACCCACGCAGAGCAGGTGTGCTCTCCAGCAGTTGGATCCCACACTCGGTTCAATTGTGCTTTTTCTTGCATACATCATTTACAACTTAGAGTTGTCAATAATCCTCATGTAACCAAATTAAATGTAAATACAAACCTCAGTGGAGTCGACGGCGTCTTTCATAACTTCCATCCATCCTTCAAAGGTCGCCTGAAATCAGAATAATGTAGTTCACAGTCTCAGTTTGGGCTGTAAAACGTCTTTCATCCATCCGCATTTTCTAATATGGTATGCTGACACTCCCAACCCTTTCCACAATGAAAATATTGTATTAACTTTGGGACTATAGCTAAACAAAACATTGTGAGGTAATGAGCAATCTACTTTACCAATCCGATAGAAAGCTTTAAGGTGCCTTGGATGATATCATCTTACCACTTGCATAAGTGCGAGGAATCCTGCAAAAACGTTATCAAATGTCACTTTAGAATTCACCCAGCGAAATTCTCCCGGGTGCTTGAGACATTCTTCTTTGTTAGAGATGACGAGGGCGGATAAAGGCTCTTTGTCTGCGTCCACACACTTGTAAAACTTTCCAGCGAAAAGATGAACACCAAGAATGCTGAATATTAACCAGAAAAGAAGAGAGACCAGCAGTACATTGCCAATACCTGGAATAGCTGCGAACAGCGCATTTACCACAACCTGAGAAGGAAAACGGAAGCAATCATTTTATAAGAACGTCACTACGGTGAGCAAAACTTCATGTGCTTCTGTGATGTTGTTTTCTGAAGATTCCATGCTGAGTGCTTTTCTTCCTAAATGGGACATTAGCCACAGTTACGTCCTCCTAAATTTCATCATGTTGGTCTAGCAGTTTCTCATATCTATGTCAGTATTCTCTTGCGTTTTAGCGGCAATGTGAGATCAAAGTGCATGGCGTACTTGCCACATCATCGTAGCCCTAGTTATAGCGAAAGTTGTGGATCGAGAAAGACTTCTCGTAAAAACAGAGGATTTAAAGGACTGGTCGTTATTTATCGCCAGAGGGGTTATTTCACGATAGAATTTACCTGATCCCTTCAAAGGTTCTGTTATATTCTTATAACCCCCCTCACTGGCAGTTAATTTGGTAATCAGTTTGCTATAGTCCCTCCTTCATACTCTGTTGACGACAACTGATCCCCACACCATTTCCCCTGAAAACCATGTCTTCCCCATCCCACTTACCCAGGCGATAAATAATGACTAATCCCTAAAAAATTGGAGACACGTTTTTTGTTTGTTTAAGGGGAGGAAGTACATATAGAACCATATATGCCCTCAGCTGCTTCAAGGCTAACTCGCAGTTAACGTATTACCCTCATTCCTTCCAGTCGTGAGATTGCTCTTAGTGGCCTCAAAGCTCGTAATGTGCGTAGTGAACGAAATACAGACAGGTTCTTGTTTTCGAAAACACAGGCGAGAGAGATCTGTATAGAGGAAAAGAATTGTCATTCTATGCAGCTTGGGTTCACAGACAAGTGATTAATTACTTAAAAATTCTTAGCTGTGGAAAACTATCTATTCTCTTGCTGTTCGAAAAGAGGCCTTTATACAAAGTTTTAACACTGGGATAAAAAAGAGTAAGGTGTTGTTCGAAGTTTTTAAATCAAATATCAAGAGCAATACCGAGCTCAAAAATAAATTAGCATTAACTGACCAAATTCAATCGGGAATCCAAAATATGCTTTCCCACGGTCATTTCTGCTATCAAATTTTACTCTGACTAAATTAGTTTGGCTACTATTCTTTTAACATCGCAGAGAAATGGAATAACTCACTTCTGAGTTCTCATATGAAGAAGGTCTGATGGTAAAATTAAAGCACTTGAAGGAGGCTCGGTGCGTTCTCGTGCTATATTTTTGGCACCAGATCTCTCGTATTAACTCTGAAATGGCCTATTGAACATGTCAGGCAACTTGATATACTCACGGAAACAATAAAAGCGTCCAGACAGTTCCAAGCGGAAGAAAAGTACTTGATGAGTCCAAAACCAATGGCTTTCAGAATGAACTCCATAGTGAAGATGGCTGCGAAAATATAGTTGCATATTTCCAAAGTCTTTGCAAGCTTCGGCTTCTTGTGAAGATGAACGTCTTCAAAAATCTGAATAACATCGAAAGGCACAAACTCAGCCTTCATAACTATTCTACTTTCTGGAAAGACAGTCTTTCACAGCACTAAGACTATGGGAGCTCAGCCAAAAACCTCCTTGAAACATATAAACGTAACATGTTTTGATTCTGAGCATGATAAGAGATAGTGTTGGATTCTTAGCGTTTAACGCTAGTTAGGAAAAGACAGCACATTTGAAATGACTGTGGAAGGTATTAGTTACTAAACATCCACTTCATAGGACTTTAATTTAAAGATATGGCGACATATAAATCGTAAAGTCTGCCATACCAATGCAAAGCTGCTGAGGAATACTGTAACAAGAATAAACCACTCGAAGTATTTCTTTTCCACGAGAACCCGCACCCTGCAACGGAACTTAAGCCAGCAGAAATGTCGCGAGGAGAATGGTTTCCACAGTGGACACTCCATGCAATATTCCGGCAGACAGTCATCAATTTCCATCATGTACCGCGTGGGGCGGTTGGCTGAAAGACCATTGTTGGCCTCAGGTAAAGTTTCCTTGTTCTCTGTTGAATGTTGCTGAAATTGTGAGGTTGGCAAGTTTGCTTTGTGTACGGGTTCAGACTCAGATCTCACCATGATGGTATTTGCATCTTCTTCATCAATTTTGCGGTCTATGAAAGAGAAGTGTTTGATTAAAATCCATTTTCAAGAAAGGTGGATTAGAGATCCTGCAAAACAGTCGTCGCTCCGACAACAACAACAACTACTCCTACTACACAAGAGAGTCTTTATATATATCCACAAAGTGTTCTGGAACATTCCAGAAGCTTACATAAGAACTATTTTAGTAGTATTACATACTAAATACGTGACTTGATGAAATGTTCTGGAAAGTTCTATGGTATGCAAGTCAGTATGACTCAGCAGTCTGGAAATTTCTAGAAGCTTATATTTACATTAATTACTCATAACAAGGAAAACCTCAGTCCGGCAAAAAGTGTACTATAAGTCGTAAAAGGCTTACCTTTAAAAGTGACATCCTCAGCCATTGATTCTTCACGGTGATCCGCGGTTTCGCATATTGCTAAGCGGCCCGCGGTATCTTTGCTGGAAAAGCGGCTACTTTCCAGAACCTGCAGTTCGTAGAGGCGAAACGGTTCCCGGTACTTTGCTACAAACAATCGAGATTTTCTTGTTTGGAAGGCTTTCCTTATCCCCAAAGAGCATTTTGACGGACCATCTGCAGTCTCTGTGTCGTCATTTGGCTCATTATCGGTCTCTCTGAAGTCAAACGCATTCACCAAGAGAGCTACGAATAAGTTAAGCACCTGGAAATAAGAAAAATCAAAGGCTGTGAAAGATCAATTTGAAAACTCTAGCTACCATAAGAAAATATGGGATAGTCTGCTGAGTCATCCATTGTATGTCAACCATCTATCCAGTTTCCAATCATTTGGTCAGGTAATTGGTCGGATAGCCAAGCAGTCAGTTAGGCAGTCTGTCAGTCAATCATTCAGTCAGTGATGAGTTGTAAAAAAGAAGAAGGATTTGGTATTTTTCTCCTTGCAAAATTTTATACTGCAAAAGCATCTTTTAGAATGTAACCATCACCGTCGTCCGATCAGACTGCAGTCAAAATAAAATTTAAGAATGTTAAAAAATGTCGGGATCGAGACATTTCTTTTTTAAAAAAGGCAAAAAAAATGGAAAAACTATTGCTTACTATGAAATTTCCCACAACAAGAACAGTAAGAAAGAATAGTGTCGCCTGTCCTGCACTGGTGGCCCTCATGCAGTCCCACAGGGGCTCAATCCACTCCCCACACAGCACTCTGAACACCATCATAAATGCGTGCCAAAAGTCGTTGAAATTCCAGCGAGGTATTCCGTCTTCGCCAAACTTCTCCACCGTATAAGCTTTACCAAACACCTTTATTCCCAGTACGGCAAAGATGTAGATTACAACGCTGAGTATCAGTGTAATGTTTCCAACTGGTCCTACGCTCCTGGCGATGGCTTTCATGAGCCTTTCCATTGTCTTCCATGACTTAGCTAAACAAAGCACTCGAACCTAGTGGATGAAGACGTTTTCGTCCTTAGGTAAATATAGCTTACACCGTGGTGCAGTCAAGGCATATCGACTGTCAAAAACTACAACCCTGGTAGTAATCATTGAGGTTCTGTCAGAAAATCAGCTTATTCTAAAAAGGGTTTACTTATGATTACTTAAATTGGTTGTTCAATCTGCTTACGGCAGACAAATAACCATTCAATGGCCTAAGGCTACGACATTTTACAAGGGTCGTAAAGATGCATCGATGTTTCATTGCTCGCAATGATTGCTGGAAAAGACCCACTGTGTTGATCGCCTTTGAGTTCTTTTTACTGCTGAATCACGTATGAACGAAATGTTGCTGATAGGACTTGAATAATGAAGAAACACATAGTTTGTTTCCTCAGCTAATTCAAGTTTGAACATGATTACTCACCAGTCTCAGTGTTCGAAATATGCTAAGCCCCTCAGCAGATTTGTAGAAGTACCCCAATAAACTACCTGTGACGACAGTAGTATCGAAGACGTTCCACCTGCTGCGGATAAAACCCATGGGTCCCATGGCGATCAAACGAAAAACAATCTCAACTGCAAACAACGCGGTGAAAACCTAGGTGTGATTGAGGAACACATTGATTAGCCAAAACGATAACCTAACCTAACCCAAAGCGATATTGACGTCATTGTCACCATCATCGTCAAACTGAAAAGAACGTGGAATACAGCGATGATAATATTTTTTGAAAGGGTGAATTTAAGTCCTCCGAGCCTGTCGGTCATTCCTGCAAGAGCTTATCCCGATTTCTGTTGCTTGAAGCGGCTCTGAATGCCTAAATCGAAAGCTGGTTATTTTTGTTATCCAAAACCCATTCATACACCAGGGTGGAAGAGAGTCAGGGTGATGAGAGTCAAGTTAAAGAGCTAAGCCTAAGACCATGACACCATCGACCCCTCCGAGACTTTAACACAGGCCCTTCAATCTGGGGTTGATTGAGCAAACCATTAGTCCATCTGGTTTCTTAACGAAGATAAAATAAATTGAGTCTCACTAAGGAGAAATCGGGATCAAACAAGGTATTGTGGAGTTTGCATAATTATCACATATCTTTATGATTATAGATTTTCCTATATTATAAAAAAATCATGGAGATTTGAATCCCGGTATTCTTGGTCTGCTCACCAAGTTCACGTAGTCCAAGACCTGACGAAACTTTGGATCGATGCCATGGTGATACAGGGCCAGAACTATAGTGTTTAGGAGTATCAGCACCACAATGACTGCATCAAAGGCAGAGTGAGTAGTAATATCACGCATGCGTTCGCGTAAGTTCTTCCAAAAGGAGTTTGTACGAACAACAACTTTACATTGCACTTTGGAAACCCTCCAGTCATCTCGCTGCACACAAGCTGGAATAAGGCAATGGCGTAACGTGGAGCTTTTTCTTTCATCTTCTTTGGGCAACGATTGCAGAGGGGTTTCATCGGTACGTCCTTCCTTGGTGTTGTTAGTTATAATGAGAGGAGGCTTGCTTCCATCCAGGGGGCTTAGACGCTGAAGCGTTACTTGATCAGCTTCGTAAGAAGCTCCGGTTTTTCTCAGATGTGTCCTTTTTTCTCTCTGTTTAAGAGTTTTCAATAAAAGGGGATGAAAAAGCAAGTGATAGTTTATCATCGTTTACAAACTCACAAAAATCTGATTTCATATCGACTTCGTCCTACTGCTTGATTAGCAGAGAAGAGCCCGCCAATCTCCCATTCTGGAGATCCTACTTAATTCACAGTTGGTACAAAGCAACCTGCAGTGTTACCTCTTTCTCCTCCGAACACAGCTCCAGTTCGTACGACAAATATACCACAGCCAAAACCAGATTCATCAGGTAGAACGAACAGAAGAATATTCCAGTCATGAAATATGGCACATAAAGTGCTCCTGAAGCCCTGATGATCTAAACACAGCAGCACATTGTCGATTCAAAGCATAGATAAAAATCAATCAAATGTTCATTAATTAAGATCAATCGGTTAACAAAACAACTTGCTGACGCGTAAAAATAAATTGTTTTATTTTGGGTATTATTTAAAAGCGTAATACAAAGAGGGAGGTACAATCAGACAAGTGTGAGCTAAAAACGAAAAATTATTTGTAGATGACGTGCCTTCCTTACTCACATTCTTATAGATAATCTAAAAAAATCAATAGTTTTGTCCTAATCTCAATAACCATGGCAAAACCTTACTTTTCTAATTTCATAGTTTGGGAGATCCAGTTTTGGCTTAGACCTGCGGCACCGTTGGAATGACTCGCAGTCTGCCTCGCAATCATTTCGCAATATAAGATAAAAGTATTGCCTTTTTAGCGAATAATTACAATTCCTTGTCAGATCTATTTGATGTTTTTTGCTTTCCTTTTGATCGGCTCTACCCTTATCAAACATTTAGCACTGTGAAGTTCACCAGAAGACACGAGACGAGATTATGATGGAAATTGAGAGAAAGATGGATCAATTTTGTGCCCGAAACAAACCCTAGGGTACCTTATCATATACGTTCTCCCAGAAGTCCATTGTTAGTATCTGTAAAGCCATGACCAACGACCAACCAATGTTATCAAATGACGTGTAACCATGATCAGGGTTTGGACCAGCGTGAGGCATACACGTGTAATTAGATGGACATGATCTAAAGTTAAATAGCAGTTAGTTAATCACTACACATTTTTTCAACGCCTAATTATCTTAGAACGTTGGGAAAAAAAAGCAAAACACAGATAGACAGCGACTCTCTTCTGCGGTAACACAAACAAAAAATTATGTTAAGTCCCATTAAGAGAGGTGCTGTAATCAGTATTTTGAAATAATGAACGAATGATAAAAGGTAAATTGAAATATATATACCCAAAAATATATGACGGCTATTTCCATTACTAGTTTCAAATACTGAGATATACTTTACCCAGCAGTTGAAGAATTTCCACAAATCAAAGGCTCGCCTTCATGAATCAACCAAAAGCCTGGAAGAATTTGTTCGTTTATTTAGATCTAATTACTCTTAAAGACCACTTGCATTAAAATCATTACCAAGTTTTGCTTAAATATTGCCTTTTCTGAATGAATATAAATCAGGAAAAGGGTTCTGTATCTTAGCTGATACTCTCTTACTTCATTAAATTCAAAGCACTGCCAATTCACTTTATCGAGAGTGATCTAATTTCTTGCTTTACACTGAGATAAGCTTTTTGTGCAAGCTCCCATAAAGATGACAGGAAATAATATAGTCCACGATACTCCTTTACAAGAAAATGACAACAAACTGCTTTGGTGCGTTCCAGACATAAAGGAAAAACCGTGTTAAAGATTTGCAATGCGACAGTAGTTAGACCTTTGTTCAGTTGCTAAGGATATGATTTCCCCTTAGCGTGGAGGTAAATTTCCTGTGGAGAATTAACTAGAATGACCTATGGTTTCTTTGTTATGACCTAAAAGAGCAAACTCCCAAAAGTTTACGTGTCCATAAGGTACAGGTGGGTGTAAAGAATAGATATGAGTAATAACGTAACCGTTAAAGGTAAAAAGGTATGAGAAGCTATTATATCTCCAAGAGTTATATCTTGTCCGTACTATTGACTCTGGAGACCAGGAAGCACGAGCAAATGCTTCAAATGTATATCAATGTTCGGTTAGCTTCCTCTCCAAAGAGTCACCTGTCAGAAATATATATCAGGCTTTCTTTGCTTCAAGATTTGTGGGGAATAGAAAAATACGTTTCGAGCCGTTTACTCCCTCAAACTCTGTTACTTACTTTGGTTTAGGGCTCGTTCCTGCATGCTCAGGGAGCCATTGAATGGTGTGTTAAGAATGCACTTGTTCCTGAGCTCTCCAGAAAATAGTTGTAGACCGATTAGCGCCATGACAGCGAGAAAGAACAAAAACAAAACTAAGACATCACTCAAAAGCTTCAAAGAACGGAGTAAGGTGTTCACCATCGCTCGGAGACCTGAAAAAGGAAATGAAAACCTAATAAAATGAACGCGTAATGACACAAAAGTGGTCAATAGTTGTGCTAAAATACACCATGTCAATAGACAGTGATGTAACTAAACACCAATTATCGAACAAAAACTCTCACATAAATTAAAAAAGAATAAAAGAAATCTCAATGAAGGGTACAGCCAAAGCTGGCACTCTATAATGTTTCCTGGCGAAAACAGGCCTTATTCGAGGAACTCATTCTTATAAATTTTAAATTTTCCGTCATCTTAAATGCTTCATTTAAACAATCATTTGAAAGTTCATTAGCTTCCAGAAAAACTAAGTGATTTTTATTATTTCTTCTAAAGAGCTTCAGGGATTGATGTCCCTGGCACCGGTTAGACAAATTTCTGCGTACACTGTGCATTTCAGGATAAGTGGAAGAACAGCAACATAACAGAGCTCATTTGGGGAAAATATGAAACAACACTCATATATAGTACTTTATCCAAGGACTTTCTTACAAACTAAATGCAGTCTCTTTTTTAAGGTTAATATCTTAATGTACCTTTCATGGCAGAGAACGTTCTAAGGGCTCTAAGAACACGAACTGTTCTGATGCCTGTTAAATTGGCAATGTTGGGAGCCACAGTGATGTACCTGTCGAATCATGAGTTAAAAATGTGGTTACATTTTCTTGTATTTTGATTACTACCACGGTTTTTCGAGTCCAGATAACCATGTCCAGATATGTTGAGACATATCAATAGATAAATTAAAGACATCAAATAATCAAAGCGAAGCTTACATTTCTTCCGTAAGGTGGAAATGATATTTAGGTAAACTAAAATGACTAATCCTAAAACTCTGTCATTTAACATCGTGCTTGTCTAGAGGTTTCTTAGACTATGGAGGCACCTAAATCTAATTGCATACCAAGCGAATTCAAACTATCTTTGGAGCAACTCACCCTAAGACAACCACAATAAAATCTAGCCAGTTCCATGCATCCCTGAGATATGCATAAGTGTGAAAAATGAATCCACGTGACAATATCTTTAGCATCATTTCCAAGGTGTAAATACCACAGAAAACATATCTGAAACAAGAACAAAATGTTGAACAAGTTCAAAGAAGTGATGTATCTGGAATGCTTAAGTTCGAAAGAATGCTGCAGCAGTAAATCTACGAGGCCTCGGCCAGTATTGGTCGGCATAGACCTTATTTATAATACCAATCGCAAAAAATATTCCTTGAGCACTGGCTTACGAGAATATGAACTTGCTCTTTTTGTCCGTTTTATTGTAAATCAGGGTTTTCATAAAGCCTCCTAAGTTGTGAGATGCATTTTTCAAAATGTCGATGAGTGCACAAATGAAACTCGGAAGTAGATCATTATAATTCTACAGTTATTTGAAAGATAATTGTAACAAGAATATCATCGTTCACTCACTCAGCTTCCTCTGGTGCACATTCAACTACAAGGAACACACAGTTGGCGAGAATGGTGAGGATAACGAATGATTCAAAATATCTACATCTTGGTTAAGGAATAATCCTTTGCACCTACTTTTCATAAAAAAGTATGCTCACGAAAGTGACTCGCCCACGAGCAGCTGCGTCGAGAATTTTTTCATCCCTAGTTACCATAGCACGATGTTGAATTAGGAGTCTTGCAAAACCTTAAATGCTGGTCTATTAGTTAATACCAAGTTATCTGCTAGCATCCCTTACAAGAAAAAAAAGTCCTCCCGAAAGCTTAACGCAATGCCTAGATTTGAAATCGGCCTTTAGATTGGGAACTAAGCCCTCTAACCATCGGTGAATCTCTGTTTAATTCAGAATGACAACTTTCTCTTGGGTAAGTACATACCAAACCCTTAAATAGTACTATCTTCCCAAAGATACGACGTCACCCGGGTTGAAAAACCTTCGTTTTTAGCTATGATTGTTTTTAAAAGATGACTACACTTATACTCGTGTTGTAGCATCATTTTGGGCAACGAAAAGAACAACGATCAAACTTAAAAATTTAATCTACCACCAATTGTCGATAGTGAAGAGCGAAAGAAAAAACTACCGATAGTTGGTTCTTCACCTATATTTTGTTATTGAAAGGATACCTATTGGTAACGACACTAATTGCCAGCTGCCTGACGGGACTGACAGGTTCTAGTAGACCCAACGCCTTTGCCTTGTTAAATCTGTACACGTGATCAGCTCGTGAGGCTCCCCGACGACGAATTACAAGAAAAGTATGATTACTGGGGATCTGCCGAGAAAAACAGAAACAAAACAATAGGTACAAGATTACTTCAGGTATCACAATGTCAGGAGATTTAAAGTCATGCTCTGCATTTTTAAAAGCACTTAGCTGTTTACGCTAAGTACACATAATTGGCGTCGAAGGCGCCATCTAGGCTCCAATGGACTGATGCCCAATATTCTCAGAGAAGGAACAGGTGGAGTAATTAGTTTAAAAACATTTTTGATTGCCAAATCATTGAGAAATTTTTTCTATCTAAAAATTCGAACAACTTCTACCCCACATTCGATTTCATCGGAAACTGAGTTTCCAACAGAGGTCAAAAGGTCTGAAAATTATTTATTATTTTCTCCTTAAACAATAGAATTTCGCAGGACGGGAGAAACACCGTTTCAGTATGATATTTTTCTAGATATGGATCGTATGTGGCAAAATATTTCGATTTCAGGGCAAAGAACTCGTCATTATACGAATCCAATTATAATAACCAATCTATCTTGGTGTTGATACGTTCCTAAGTAGCTTTGGATGGATAAGCTTCATTTTAACGATCAGCCGCTTTAATCTTATACAGATATCATCTGATACGAATCAAGTTATGGAGCACGTCTCTATGCAAATAGGACATTAGTGTATCTTTAAGTCTACACGTGCCATCACTTATAATGAAAACAACTCACCCTTCCATTAGTAGCATCATAATCTTTTAGCGGCTTTCCGATATAAAATGAAGGGACCCGAGCAATGCTGGTACTTCCTGGCTCTTTATCTGTGTCCATCTCTGGGTCCTCAGCCTCGGTCTCGAGTTCCTCAATATGAGGATCTGAAGCAAAATGGACTCTTTTTGAAGGCGACTCCTGGTTGCACGAAGTCCCAGTCGGCTCTTTTTTATCGACAGATTTTATCACAGACCCTTTGGAAGTCTTGCCTGTCGTATGATTAGGGAAAGATTTTAAAATTCTAAGGAACAGGGAAGCTGTAATCGTTGTTTAAATCTTTGTGATTTGCTACAGTGGGTCTTTTTCAGGGCAAAAGTGATGAAGATGGGACAAATTGTCGTAAAAGCGAGAACCTTATGTAATTTCATTTTCCATGCCTAGTATAGTGATCCTTTCTTGAGTTTTGATGACTCGTTAGCGTATGCTATAAACCAGACACACAAATATTGGTAATATTGTAAATAAATTATTCATTAAATATATCTCCTCTTACATTTAAACATCAATTTGACGTTGCGTAGGTCTTATGACTAGAGAGATCTGCTAGCCACTATCTCCAAGATGAAAGAAACAAGAATATTTTTCATATCATTAAAGAAATTCGGGAAAGAGCAGAAGAAACATACTTTTGCACAACTGAAGTCACAATTACCACCCATTTTGAACAGAAATTATTGGCCATCAGTTGTGTGTCAATGAAAATTTAAAACGTTAGTTTGCAATCCAGTTTCCCTTTTTTTCTCATGATACTGAATTGAAAATCAACTGATTCCAGCCTTTAGAGATAAACAATCTTCTGCGACAAAAGTTTGTTAAATAAGGCTTGTCGGTCGAGTCCGTGTAAAAGGAAGATGAACGAGAGACAAATGTGCTAATCATGTTTTTAATTATGAACAGAGGATAAAAGGAAAGGAACTGAAACGACAAATGCAAGAATTGTACCGTGAAAAAAAAATTACAATCGTCGCAAATATGTTAAGGCAAAAAGTATTGGAATTCAATGATTATGGGTCGCAGTTATCGAGAAGATACCGAGCGTAGATAGACTCGACTCAGTCATTACTGAGATGTAATAATTGTCAGGCGGGAAATTACAACACGAAGAAAATTTAACCTCATCTTAGCAGATTAACGGCAGCTTTCCAGTGCGAAATGTTTGTTCGAATTTGCAAAGAGTTAATTCATCTTGGAATGTCCCGGCTCGAAAAATTTACAAAGTGTTTATCTTTGTGGGCTTAGGCTAACACGCGAACACACTATGTCGTTGCGGTTTTTTTGTTTTCGAATGTTAAAGTTTCATAAAAAAACCATGCATGTACATAAAGATCCCACCTGCGTCTAGAAGCCCTCCACGTTTTTTGATAATTCTTTCGCCGTCCTCTACTAAGCAGAGTTTTGCGGCATTGAGCTATTTGAAAGTGGATATTTCGATTACTAACCGGCCGTAGTAGATGATGTAACCAGTTTCTTAGATGCAAGCCATTTGAGACACATTTGCAAACGTGAAAATTTTGGGTTTTACAATAATCATGACTTATTCATACACCTCTTCAGGTGATAATAGCGAATGAATATTGGTGCATTATGTTCTCGGGATTGTGACATGTCAATAAAACGCGTTGACTAGACGCTAAAAGATGATTTTCTTTGTGCAATATGCATATGACTTTTGGCTGAAGTTTGATTGTTTTTCCTGTCAAGTGTACGCCTCTAAGGACGCGACATAAATTGCTTTTCGATCCACTTAAATTTCCGTTTACTTAAGGTTTGAGTACCTTACTTTATGATATATTCATGCTAACGATGGTTTTGTGCGTTAAAAGTGATTCGGCGCAGTCAATTTAGTGTAAACCGTTGTCCCCATTAAATGTCAAGAAAATCCAGGTGAAATCTTGAGTGAGTGATTCCTCTAATGTCCTTCAATATCGCGCCCCCTATGTGACTGTAACTTCTGCTCAACTGAGTGTTTCGAAGCCAAAAGTAAACAAATCTTTATCAAAAACGTAAACTAAGGTGAGCTTTTCTCCTCAAATTGCTACAAAAAAAATAATTATCGCTACCTTACAAAGGTGCTAAAAAGATATAATTTTTTGTTTACTATTTAAACCCAACAGAATAATAAATCCAGCTTAATCATACAAACCTATGAGAGAACTTTTCACAAACATGTTGTCGTTTGGGAATCAACTCCAAAGCTCTTAAGCCTTTACAGTCAAGGTGATATTTTCACGGAATGGAACCCACAGTTAAGCGTGTTACATAAAAGTGGATGGCATTCGACTTGGAGAGCGACGTAATTTGTTCAACACTCTACCTGCCCGTGGGCTCATAACTTATTGATTCTAAACTTGTTGCCTGGTGGCAAATCAGTTCATTGGATGCCATTAGCAGTTTAGAGACCCTGCCCCCTGTCGTAAGATGTAACACTTTGTAATTCATTGCTATTGTCATGATGGAGGCAAAACTGTAAGCAGTTGTTTTGTTTCTTTTCATTTCCAGCAACGTTTACAATTCAGCGCTCGACCCGCCTTGATGCGGATATGTAGAAATCATTAACTCAATGTTTTGAACAGAAAAACGCAGAGAGCCTGGTTTTAAAAACACGTTGGAAAAACAGAAATGTTTGGGAATCTATTTCGTCAAGGACAGTTCATAAGAGAGGAGTGAATAAACGAGAGGCCGCCCTCTCGATTATTCTGAGAAGCAATCAACTGTAGGATATTCAAAACTCAGTCGTAAATTTCGTCTACCTACATCATTCGCCAGAGCCAAACAAACCTTGTAAAAAAGAGGTACCTCTGAGGCTTTTGAAGGTTGTCACTGAGGATTTCTTTAAGCTTACGAATGTCTATATTCTTCCTGTCAATAAATTCCTGCAACAATGACTGGAATGGATTTAACTATGGCAAAAAGGCCTAGAATAACAAGAATAATCTGAATAGCGAAACGGTTGCTTTTATTCCTTAAGGTCGTCTTGAAATCAAAGCACACAAAACAAAATTGCGTAACACAAGACTTAACCGGTAAATGTACTGGCAGACAGTCATAGATATTATATAATAATATAACTCAGCATTTCCCTATGTGGTTATTGGACAGTTTCGCGCCTGTTCTTTATTCAGAGGAACAAAATATATTCAGCATATTAAAAATAGTCGATTGCTAAACGTTTAGCCCTGGGAGATGCTTTAAAGAGTGAAAAATCCTTTTTTTTTAATCGTCAAATGAGAGAAAAAAATTGGTCTACGTTTGATAAAATTATATGCCGAAGGCTTTAAATAATTTGTTAGCACTTCCTGTCTGTTTTTGTATAGGTTGGTTAAGGCTTTGTATTGAAATCAATTATCTTCTTCTTTCTTTTGTTTTTCGAAACCACGCACAGATTATTGTTTACGTACTTTTCCCTATCTCCGGTATGGCAACTTAAAAGCTTTCTCTGATCGACATTCGATTACTTTAGTTCCTTTAGCCAATCAAAATCAGTTTCGTCGCTTGCGTTTCATTAAAGGAACCTGTTACTAGATTAACTGGTTGTCGACACGATGGCGACTGGACGATCGAAAAGCGTGGGGAAAGTCACTCTGCTCCGCAGGTAAGTTTGAAAACTTTCCTGACAATCTATACTGGATTATGCGAACTGTTTCGCGACCGATTTGAGGTTGAATGCGGCCCACATCCTGTTGATTGTGGTTTCTCTGGCAGGCTATCTGACTGACATCTGCGGGTGCAAGCGACGGCGATTCTCGCCATTTGCGGTCTACATGCTTGTAACCGCATCATTGCAGGTGCGAGGCTTAAGAAAGATTTTGAAAATACTTTAATGTCTCTAGTAAATAGCATCACTACAACAATGCAACTTCATTGATAAAAACAGGATTGCATAAAGTAAAATAAAGGAGGCAAGACAAAGAGACATAGTTATATTTTTGAGTCCAGACTCTTTTAAACCAATCGCGGTTACAAAGAAAGCAGTAAAAATACGTTTTCATTTGAAGCCAGAATCCGAGAAATTAATTTATTGAGAATGGTATTAATAATGATATACATGTAAAAGCAAAATAACCGTGACGACAGCAATGAAAGGTCACTTCTAATATAATAGAAATTAGACTTAAAATTTCTTTTCCTTACATGGAATTGGGAATTAGGATTGACAAGACAAGAGAAGCCAATAAAATGCCAAGTTGTAGTCATCGTACCCTTACTTGTGATATCAAAATCTTTAAAAATGATAAGAATGTCTGTTGTCATGGATATTGAAGACAGCGATATCGTTTGACATTGTATGAAAAGATGTTTTGATCACCTCAAAGCTTTAATCGTTTCGAGTGTTTGTGCACGTGTAAGCCAGCCATCTTGGTCAAATCAATCGAAGGAGAAAAGGTGATGTTTTCATTGAAAATTATGAGATCAAGTAAGTCGTGGGTCCGGGAAACACTGAGGTTAAGATACAGAAACGAGGTTAGACGCTTTCACTCAAAACCACCTTGAGCAATTTGTTAATCAGATCAGTTCTAGCTTCCGTAATCTCTAGCAAAATCGGGGTATCTTAACTAGAAAGGAAAATAAGCACGAGAAGACATACTGATGAAATACATTACTGAACGTGTTTACATGCAAAACTTTCCAAATTTTTTGGTTTAAATGGCCCATCATCCTAGGGTCAACCCAGTGGTAGAGTGACCGACGTCGACGTAGTAATCCGAAGGTTACTGGTTACACTCCCGTCAGGTTATTACTTTCAGAGTGCGCCTGCGTTATTATGAAATTTAAAGTATAATACCTTCCTTAATAACTTAAAGGTAAGATATTGCAAGATGGAACAAGACCACTTGTTTGAATGGTAAGGAATCCAGTTCAGGAATGGCCTTTCGAGTAATTATCAGGTTCTGGCCCAATTTTGTCAGACTTCAGAAATCTCTTCTTCTTCTTCTCGATTTTTTTTCTATCTTATGAAGAACTGATCATTTGAGTTTCAAAGCAGAAGAATGGAAACGTTTGAGGTTCTGTCAAACTTGTAAATCTTATTTTACAAACTCGTCTAGGGGATAATTAGATCTTAAGAAGATCTGAAGAAATTCAAATGTCAAAAAATATTAACTGGCACGTTAGAACAAAACATATATGAGTTGCATGACTCCCCGGCATGACACGGCACAGCGCTACTTTTTCTTTTTCAAAGGTGAACAGTTTTTACAGGTATGTCATG